ACTATTTGTGTCTATATTGTGTCTCTATGTCTGTAGACTCTGCCCGTACATTAGTGCTACTTTCAATCCTTCCCTCTACACTGAAGAAGCCTTGCCTTATTGAAGACTCATTATAACCTCACTAATACACAGATGTTGTGATCTATTTTGAACCAGTGGTCAAGTAATTATTACGGTCAACATACTGACCAGAGGTCAAAATGGCCGGACTAAGACAAACCTGCCACTCATAAATCGATAGAACTGGAACCCTATCACGAAGAAATGACAGCGTTTTATGAGTTTCTTTGGTGCAAATGCAATTTAAACACAGTTTGCACACTTAATGGTTAAAGTTTTCTCATGGTCTTGCAATTAAGATTCCCAGTCGCCGACCAGAATGTAACAATAATAGTCAGACTTCACATATATTGAATATTTTTCTTCTTCCGTGCCATGTCGACTTGACCCGCTCCAGGGCAGGATCTGATGACAATTTGTTGATGTAACTGTGTGGCTGTTGAACTCAATACTTCTTTTATGTTAAGTACGATTAGACTAAGCGACTGTTGAAATCAATCCTTGTGTTAGATAAAGTAATAAAGAAAGATAAGAACAAGTTACTATTTATTTCAGTCTTTGTATAGGTAGGATAAAATTTGGATATGATAATAGTGATCTCAATCCTTGTATAAGTAAAGTAGGATCAGAACGCGGTATCATTTAACTCAATCTTTGTATAGGTAAAGTAAGATCAGAATGAGTAACTATTGAACTCAATCTTTGTATAGGTAAAGTAAGATCAGAATGAGTAACTATTGAACTCAATATTTGTAAAAGTAAAGTAGGATCAGAACGAGGTATCATTTAACTCAATCTTTGTATAGGTAAAGTAAGATTAGAATGAGAAACTATTGAACTCAATCTTTATAAAAAGTAAAGTAAGATCAGAATGAGTAACCATTTAATTGAATATTTGTATTAGGTAAAGTATTATAAATAGGTATCATTTAACTCAATCTTTGTATAGGTAAAGTCAGATTAGAATTGCTACTAATAAACTCAATATTTGTAAAAAAGTAAAGTAGGATCAGAACAAGTTACCATTTAATTGAATATTTCTATTAGGTAGAGTAAGATTATAAATAGTTACTAATGGACTCAATTTTTGTAGTAGGTAAGGTAATATTAGAACATATTAATATTAAACTCAGTCACTTTATATGTAAGATAAGGTTAGAACGAGTTACTGATGAACTAAATCTCTATATAAGTAAGGTTTGAACGAGTAACTATTGAACTCAATCTCTGTATAATTAAGGTTTGAACCAGTAACTATTGAACTCAATCTCTGTATAATTAAGGTTTGAACCAGTAACTATTGAACTTAATCTCTGTATAATTAAGGTTTGAACCAGTAACTATTGAACTCAATCTCTGTATAATTAAGGTTTGAACCAGTAACTATTGAACTCAATCTCTGTATAATTAAGGTTTGAACCAGTAACTATTGAACTCAATCTCTGTATAAGTAAGGTTTGAACGAGTAACTATTGAACTCAATCTCTGTATAAGTAAGGTTTGAACGAGTAACTATTGAACTCTATCTCTGTATAAGTAAGGTTTGAACCAGTAACTATTGAACTCTATCTCTGTATAATTAAGGTTAGAACGAGTGACTCAATCAAACGTTAAATCGGCAGTCTATATCACTCTACAGAGTACAATTTTCCAGGAAAGGAGAGAATAACCAACTCAAGCGATTAGAATCGAGATGAATGGTCTGTGTTCTTTAACACTTTTCTGTGATTAGGCCGGACGCATAGCGTGATATATTCCCCATTTCCAATGTATGGTTAAATACCAACATAATGAACTTATCGCTTTCTTTGACATCTCGTGCACATTTCGTTGTGATATGTAAGCATGCCGATACGTACCATTATTTTTTTCACATGACCTCTATAACATTGGAATACATTCGTTCTGCCTTTTTTAATTACTATACATTATTTTCTTACTTGTTGTGTGAAAGAACATACAGGTATTACCACCCTTAGACAGCTGGTATTTATAGGATAATCTAGCACACCGTCCTTATGTCACATCTTTAATGTTAAATCCTTCAGAGCTGTCTGCGGAGTTTTCTAAACCTGTGAATTTAGTTGATTATTGTTTTTTCAAAGGATCACAACATTTTCAAATGTAACGGGAAATGCCAACGGTGATCATGGCTTTGTTAAAGACTTCCTGTAATGACCCTGTTTGCTTTGTTAGTTACATCACCCCAGATACATTGCTTTGTTAGTTACATGTTAACTGGGCCGTTACTCTTCCTGTAACTAAGTGTTGCATTGTCAGGTACGTATTTTCAGTCCACGTGACTCTTCCTGTAACTAGGTCCGGCCGTTTGCTTTGTTAGTTACATGATTTCTGTCTCCGCGACTCTTCCTGTAACTAGGTCCGGCCGTTTGCTTTGTGAGGTACATGTTTTCTGTCTAAGTGTCTCTTCCTGTAACTAGGTCCGACTGTTTGCCTTGTTAGTTACATGTTTTCTGTCTCCGTCTCTCTTCCTGTAACTAGGTCCGACTGTTTGCCTTGTTAGTTACATGTGTTCTGTCTCCGTCTCTCTTCCTGTAACTAGGTCCGAGTGTTTGCTTTATTAGTTACATGTTTTCTGTCTCCGCGACTCTTCCTGTAACTAGGTCCGACTGTTTGCTTTGTTAGTTACATGTTTTCTGTCTCCGTCTCTCTTCCTGTAACTAGGTCCGACTGTTTGCTTTGTTAGTTACATGTTTTCTGCCTAAGTGTCTCTTCCTGTAACTAGGTCCGACTGTTTGCTTTGTTAGTTACATGATTTCTGTCTCCGCGACTCTTCCTGTAACTAGGTCCGAGTGTTTGCTTTATTAGTTACATGTTTTCTGTCTCCGTCTCTCTTCCTGTAACTAGGTCCGACTGTTTGCTTTGTTAGTTACATGTTTTCTGTCTCCGTCTCTCTTCCTCTAAATAGGTCCGACTGTTTGCTTTGTTAGTTACATGTTTTCTGCCTAAGTGTCTCTTCCTGTAACTAGGTCCGACTGTTTGCTTTGTTAGTTACATGATTTCTGTCTCCGCGACTCTTCCTGTAACTAGGTCCGACTGTTTGCTTTGTTAGTTACATGTTTTCTGTCTCCATCTCTCTTCCTGTAACTAGGTCCGACTGTTTGCTTTGTTAGTTACATGATTTCTGTCTCCGCGACTCTTCCTGTAACTAGGTCCGACTGTTTGCTTTGTTAGTTACATGATTTCTGTCTCCGCGACTCTTCCTGTAACTAGGTCCGACTATTTGCTTTGTTAGTTACATGTTTTCTGTCTCCGCGACTCTTCCTCTGTTTGACTGGCTCCTTTTTCTTACATCGTGAATCTAATATTATATTTATTTGAGCTCTTAGTATATGTCAGATACCAGGGGTAGACTAGAGGGGGTTAGTGAGGGCAGTCGGGTAGCAGAAATCTAACGCCGATAAAGCTGATATTGACTTGCCATCCTCTTAACAATTTTAAACCAGTCATAGTAAGAAATAAGACTGAAAAAGACATAGGTCTCTAGGGCCTACCTTACCCAGTAGGAGAATCAAGGCGAGCAGTTCTTCTAAGAAACCTAGAACTGGAATGACTTATATATAGGATTTCGTGCGTTCAGTTTTTATGATCAAGGCAAGAGAGAGAGTTATTTTTGTTGCATATTCATTGCTGGTATGTGTGGTTGGGTGAAGTGACATGGGGAGAGGGAAGGGGTGAGTCAGGTGGTCTTGTAATGTCTAATTTTTTGGTAGTTGCCAGTTCCAACCAACAGGAAACGGCAATCGGAATATTCCGGAAAGTACGTCGTGTATGAAGAGCACTAAGATTGTACGCCAGAGCCAGATAATCCCTCCCCATCTAACCACTCTTGTTACGTAACATCTTTTTTCTTTAGCAATAATAATAATAATCTTTGCCTGATCGTGGGAAAATGGGGACGGTTTCCAGGTGTGTAAAACACTCAAGTAAACATTATGTTCACCTAGACGTGTTATATAACGGCCTGTAGTTAAGCTCAAGGACCCGTAATAGTCGCATGAATCCACACTATGGCCGCGCCACTGGCCACCAATGCTACCTGTACTGACCAACAAGTCTATTACGTCATGTTACAGGTACCTATAATGACTGAAATACATGACCGCCATCAGTCGGCAAGAAATCATTGACCACTAGATCCCGCCCTCTGGTCAGTCGTCTGGTCAGGCTGCCGTGGCCTTAGCAAAGGTCAGCACAGTCCATTTTATCTTATACACAGGTAGAAATAGTCAGATTGACATATACTACTTTGTGATCGAATAACGCACTTTTGATTTTTTTTCAATATTGTTTTCGAAATGTTTGTGTGGTTTTCGGGTTAACACCGTTATCTCGATGTCATGAAAACGAAATTCTAAAAACTTTTTAATGGCAAGTCATTCTGGCAACCTGTCCACCCTTTCACACCCGAGGAGATACCTCGGTCCAACTGGACAATGGCAGCATGCACACTATTATGTGAGTAGGGGAGATCCGTATTTTTGCAGTTAAACATTTATTTTTTTCAAATATCATTTTGATTCTTCTGCACAAAATTGTCCTTCTAATCCCTTAATTTTTATTTTACTGATCTCATTGACGTTTTCTAAACTCGAAAGTTGTGCCGTGCATTTACAGCGTGATTGCACGGCTGAGTGAGTAATGGTCAGTCTCTCCTTTGGCCTGCAATGGACTCGTCCAGCCGATTGGCTAGAGCGATTACATCACTGCACTGAAAGGCTGTGGTATTTGCATATGGACTGACCTGTCCGACGTCATATAGGCGATTGAGCGAACAAAAAGTCCATAACGTCGGGCTGAGGTCGCCCCGGCACAATCAGAGAGTGAAATGTACGGAGTTACGTGACCCGGGGAGTGAAAGCATGTATTATTGAGTAGAAATCAAAATGAAAGTGGCAAGTTAAACCATTTACTGAAGTATGGAGCTTGAACCTCAGTTCACTAACATGGAGGGTGCTTTTTCTATGTTTGGATCAAAACACGGCGATCAGATGTACAGGCCAGATATCGGACCTGCTGACCATGGGTCAGATCGGCCGGATGTAAACAGTGCTGTTGAACTGAGGCCTAACAAAATGGACGGACCGGGGTTGTCAGAATTTGGATTCGGCAATCTAAGTCGGTACACCATGGTGTCTACCCCCGGGTCTACTAGTAGTAGTGATGGCAGTACATCGTCACAGGAATCATCTTCCACGGGTCCCACGGCGAAACGGAAAGGTAAGGTTCCACTGTATCTATGATCCTACTGGTGAAACTACGCCGTACCGGATGAAGACTTCTTCCAGAAAAAAAATATTGCCAATGGTCTGATTCCCTGTATCAAATAATCATGCAGCTTCTTCATTTTGGAACCTTCTTTCACAATATTCATTTTCTTTTAAGTAAATAGACCCTTTTAAAATTCCGGGACAAAATGTCCATGGAAATTTATCGCCCTATGCCCATTCCTCTAGACCCTCCCCTCCCCTAAGACCCCTTTTTTCAAACCCCGTTCTTTACTCCTTTCCCCCACCCTTCCAGCACTTCTCCAACAAGTGCGATCGAATAATTCATGTCACATATTGAAAATGCTATAAATAAAACAGAGATAACACACTTTTATTACGACATAGGACAATTACCAAAACAAACCACAGAGTCAATTTGACGTATTTTATTTTCAATCGAACGAATGAAAATAAACCTATACAAATTCCTATCCGAGATGTCCGGTATTTTTACTATGGAAACCATGCACGTGCATGTACATTCAATAACACAGTATAAATCAATTATACTGTAGCTTTAATTAATAGTTAAAACTTTACATCCGTGAAACACTGGTAGTTCAGTTAATTATTCAGAAATAATTTTAATTTTCACACGACCAATTAAAAAAAATTCCATGTTTCAAAACTAAGCTGAATATATATATATATGGATATCGATATTCATTTGTATATATAATGAAATATTATTTCATCAAGTACATAATGCATTAAGTAATATGGTAATATAATAAAAATAGTTAATTTATCGTTATATAATGTGATTGTTAAGTATATAATGAAATCCAATATTTACTTCCACATCAAATAAAAACCTTTCAGTGTGTAACAGCTATTTTCTGTGTTCTATAAATTATATAGAATAGTTCAAAATTATTTTTTTTTATTTTCAAGGGCATCTAAATGGAATTAATGACGTCTTGTTCATTTATGTCTTAAAATCAGAATAGCCACTTAATGATGCAAGTCAGATTGTTTACATTAACATAGACACCTTCAAACAATCAAGTATGATATCCTATAGACTTTTTTCAAAAGCAAACAAAAATACCCAATAATATACAGATAATTATGATGAATAACAATACTAAGAAATCGTGTCATGAAAATGTAATAATGTCTTCTTTAATACCTAATTAATTTTAACAAAGAAATATTTAAAGAGTTTAAATTTCTTCAAGGTGAAACATTGCATTTTTGTGAATTTTAACTTTTTTATATTTGATAGAAGAACTAAGAAATTTTTAGGTAACATTTTTAGCTGTATGTTTGGAAATAAATGAACCCAGCCATTATGTACTTTACCTGTGCAGTTATCAGTAATTCTGAAATAAAAGAAAGAAATTAATGTAGCTAGTTATATGTTTTTAGTACAAATGATAATGACTGTTGAAACTTTCATTTTGAATTTTCTTTTTCTTTCTTTTTTCCCCAATGACATAAGTGAAAATATGCAACGAAGTTTGAACTTACCACTTAAAAAAAAGGCAGTGCCTGTTGTAGGATAATTAATACCGCTTATATCCAAAATGAAAACCTGAGCTTTTCAAATCTGTTTACGGTTATAATTCAGTTAAGGACATAAACAAAATACTTTTAAAAAGTGATTTCAGGATTATGAAAAGGACGACTCGAGCTTTTTTTATTGTTGTATATATTATGATAAACAGTGTTTATATATGAAAATATATACGAAACATGTTAAGGGCTAAAAAAGATCCAATGAAACAGAATTATCAAAAAACTTTTGGAATTATGACATATTTTTCATACAATTTAAATTCAATCTGATATGTTCTCAGTTATATACGTTTTAAAACCGATGAAAACATTTAGAATTTTAATTGTATTGTTAGCATGTAGTATGAAGTCATGATAAGTTCAGAAGTTTTTAATATTATTTCTTTAAACTGTTTTGTGAGAGGGAATGGGGTTTAGGACTTCTGTTGGACCATGTACAAATATAGCCCTACATCAGAACAAAATACAATATCTCTATTCTGAGTGATATTATATGTTTGTCAAACTTAAAATAAAATAAAACTAAAGTAAATCATCTATTCAAATATTAACACTGTTTATTTACACTTTCATTCGTCAAATATGAAAATAATGTTCAACTAAATATTAAATCTACATTTTTAATTGTTAAATATTGAAATCAATTGAATTGTGTTTTTAAAGCTATATTTTCATTAGTAATATATCAAAATCATATATAACTAGTGTTAAAATCTAAATTTATTTTTATTATGCATTGAGTGTTTATATGTATTGTAACCCCATCAGTTTTCACCCCTATTTTACCCCCAAACTCGTCCTTATATTAACCTTCTAAGTGTCACCATTGTAACCGTTTGCTTATTGTATTATCCAAATTGACACGCAAAACCTCGCCATCTGGCAGTCAATACAGGCCATAAATCGCCTGTTTGTTCCAGGTGCAACTAGTCGATAAAGACGTTACGTAATGTGACGTAGAATAATCAACGGTACCAGACTATAAATAAACACGAAGTGAGGCGATACGCCTTGGGTGACAAGGGTCGCTTAAGCACATAGATAAATTATATAGATTTGCCCATAGTTACAAGATAAATGTGTCCATGGTCTTGTTTTCCTTTCATCTTATATTCTTAATCTATTTGTCAAGGATGAATAAACACGAAGATGGACTTTCATCAAACTGGACAATATATTTGAAACGAGGTTTCTGACTTTTTTGTTGAACAGTCCAATATCTAAACCCCCCTACCTATCCATCAACCTTCCTCAATATTTCAATAAGAACGCCATCAAATCTGCACATCATAACACAATGGCCGACCCCTTTAAACATCTTCTGTCAGTGTCCCTGTGACGTATATCCCTATGACGTATTTTATGACGTCAATGACGTCCTTTATAATGTGAAAACAGACTCTAATGGTGTACATGGGTCGTATATAACCCAGATGTTACGTCCAAATATATGTATTTACCACAGTAAGTAGAGGAACAGGTGTTCGCTGTAAGATGTATTTATTATACATATATATGTGTTTATATCTCGTTCTACTGTCAGGATACCATTTCATATACCTATACTCAGTAATAGTACTCGTATACTTTCCCTAATTCCTATACGTGCCACGACTTCATTCATCACCAAGACACCAGATCATAAGTTTTTTGCATTTACAATGTAATAAATGACAGTGGTAAGTCGAACTTTCTCTCTCTTAATTATCACAAGCTTACTATGCGTTACAATTATACATTATTTACGTACGGGAACCATGGTTTACAGGCATATTTCTAGCAATGAACGTTACCAATAGATTTATCTATCTTGTCCGGAGGCGCTGGATTGTCCGCAGTCTGAGGCCTAGGTCTAAGGACACAAGCTGTCTGACCAACTGACCACTGGATTCTGGTCCCCATCCTTGTAAAATGTGCTCCCTACAAGTGAAAATATTCAATTTATTTGTTTATTATTATTATTTTTATTTTCTATTATTTATTGATTTTTTTTATTCAATGTATTATTATTTAACGTAAATCAGTTTCATATCCGTCTATTTCGAAAATATCGCGTTTTTGAAATGATGTTAATAACGTCTCCTCTATGGGTCTTAAGACAATATTTTAATTTCTCCAATTAAGTTGTAGCCTAGTTAACAAAAATGAAAATTTCAAATTTGGTTATAAACAGTTGAATATTACTATAAGGGTTATTCGGTTCGTATCTTAATTAGGTAAAATAGCGAAGCCTTTCTAATAATCAATCAATAATTCTGCATGTGTTTAGGACAAAATAATTGTCCTCAAATACAGTTTGTTAGAAACGTGACAGACATACATAACAGAAGATATGCAGATTCGACTCTAACACTCTAGATCTTCGTTAGCAGGTTTAAAAATATTTTGGAATTTTGCATAATATTTTTTTCATGTATATTTGGTTCTACCCTATTAGGTACACTTGTAAATGGTTACTTCAGTTCAATTCAAAGTTTTATTCAGCTCTACCTTCGAAAAGTCCCTTACTAGGCGAGATCGGAAGGCCTTACTTATTATCAAAGTAACAAAGTCATTGATTGTAATATAAGATATAAAATATGATATTGATTTTTAATAAAGATGAAATATTAGAAAATAGCCAGAAGATAAAAAGAATTTGAAATCAGTTGAAAGTAGAGAGATTTAGAAAGAACATATATTTTGTTATGCCAATAAGGAACCTGAGTAGTATATTTTTATCTTAAGATACCATATACAAAAAAATTAAAAAAAAAATATATTAACCAACACAATATAAACAAGTTTAAGAAATGATAATCTTATGATAATATGTTCACCTGCACATCTGAATGGAAGGCTATGTAAAAGCTAAGATGATAGTTTCTCGTACCAAATATGTAATATAGGACTTCGGTCCAGATCTGAGCGCGGTGTAAAATCCGCTGTTGTGGATTTTAATTGATTTGACAGTTAGAACGTGTTATCCGGGTCTTATTTTCTGGTTAATCGATCAACCGTCCAGGTCAAGGTGACCTCTGGGCAGTCTCCAATCATCGAATGACGTAGAAAAGTCGGTACTGCTTTTCCCATTAAAAAGTCAAGGTCGTTCGCTTGAAAAAAGGCATCTCTCGATTGGCTCTGGCCAGCGTACTTCGCTTGACTGATCGGCACTGTGCTTTGTAATGGGGCTACACGGTACATAGCCATCAGGACAGGTCATTTCGCCCTGGGCTTTTGAAGAAATTCCGGCAGCTGAAACACTGAAAATAGCAATAAAATACATTTCATTACTACAATAAGCGAGTGGGTTGTCTCTCTTCATGTCCGAACTTATTAAGCCTGGTATAGATACTCAGTGTCAGACCAAGTGTTATCGCTAGAGTCGGGTTTCCTTACTTTACAGAACAATCATGCGAAGAAGCCTCGCCTAGTATACCGAGATAACGT